GATGCTCTTATTTCTCTTCTGCTCATGAGCAGTGAGAAAACAAATGGACCCAGCCCTCCACCAGGCATACCCATTGTATTTGTTTCTTCTCCTTTGGAGTTAATGATGCCGATCTTAAACTTTGCTCGCACTCCTATTTCCTCTGGAGAGCTCTTCAGTAAGAGAAAAACTCCAAGAGACTCTTTCCTCTGCTCACTTAAACCATTTGGAAAGACATGCAAACACCTGCAGAGGCAGAAAACCCTCTTCAGCTTCTCTGTACAAACATTCCCTCGAAACCAGTTCCTACATCCAATCCTGTTGCCCTAGACATACAGGAAACCCCCACAGTTATGCATGAAACAGGGAAAGGCTACTTCAGAGAGGTCCCAAACAGAAACATTTAGCAGGGTTTGAATATTTTTCTACCTGCTACAAGATCTATGTTTCCTACATCCCTACTCCTCCGCCTTCAAGGGTATCGAAAATAGTTGCAACTCGGAGCAGAGCAGTGTGTGAGATAGACTTTTATGTAATTTCTCTTCCATGGAATTTCTTACTGAATGGGTTTTACTCACACCTGATGTACAGATACCGCTTAGCCAGTGGTCAGGAAACAGCTGTTTCATAGTTCAGTTTAACCAGTGCTTGCATATTTATTTCCTTTGACGATGTGACTTGGCTCACTTATTTGAGCCTTCTGAATTACTGTTCCTGTGTTTTGTTTTTTTCTGTTACAACAAGTTGTGGCTTGTACTTAATAGCTGGTGTTTCTTGCCTCTTTCCAAACCATTAGAGAAAATTATACTAGGCTGTGAAATCAATGAAAATGGAACTGATTCTATAAAATCCATGTTTTGGATACAGATACATATTGAAAGATATGAATTATCACTGGGATGCTGATATAATGCATGTTCACGTGGTTATACTCCAACACAAGAATCATTAAATTTTGGAAAGAGATGGGGCATATGTTATAAATTATGATGAAATGCATTGATGAGAATATAAATCTATAAATTTATATTCCCAAATGTGGTGAGTTACACTGTATATTTGAGTTATGATTCTATTTGTCATTTATGGTTTTACTAAATTTTGTTACATTAAAAATATTAAAAAATAATTAAAGCATGTCAGCATATCAGTTCTACAGCCCCTTTACCTTCTACTTAAGCACAAATTGCATGCCAAGTATTCGTTGTTGTTGTTTTTGTTGTTCTTTCTTCGGCCAGTCTGAAAACAATTCTTATCAGTCAAGTCACTACTGTAACACTTGGCAGGAGGCAATACTAAGGGTGAGCAGAGCAACCTGCCCAAGGTTTCACAGTGAATATGTGGCTGAGCAAGGATTTTGAACTCGGCTTCAGGCTACTAATTAACACCCCTCTTGCTCTTTTCCACTACATGCTGCAGCCATGTATTTCTTGTTCAATGGTCCTTACCATTTCAATTCATTATTTCCTCCTGAGGAAAATGTTGTACTTTGCATCATATGGCCTGTTTCCTCGGGGCAAAAGCTGAAGTTAATTATCTTCCAGGTGTAAGAAAATTTCACTATGTTGATCTTATCAAAACAAAAGAAAAGAAAGGAAAAAGGAAAGCAATCCATATACACTGTGGTGAATAATAAGGCAGAATAAAACTGAAAGGCAAAAACCTCATGGCCCCTTAATTCTGCTAAACAAAGAAATGTGGTTGAGGGGAAAATCTTTCCATTACCTATATTAAGGAATGATTATGAGTTATATTTTCTTGAAAACTTAATTTCTATTGAAAAACAACTTACCTAATACTACAAGATTTGACCTCTGCCAACCACTGCCTTTCCACAGCACTTCCATGCTTGTCCCTCTGTCCCAGAAGGTGGGAGGGGGGGTGAGGACATTGCCTTGTGGTTCATACAGTATTCACCAAATCAAGGCAGAGATTGTTCTGGACATGTAGCTTGCACTGATTCATCCCAGAGTAGACTTTGGACTAGATGGGCGGGGTATAAATTTAATAAATAAATGAGTAAAATAAATCCCGGCAGAGACTTGGGAACCAATTGTTATGGTTATGTCAAAAAAAAGTGTGCTGCCAATTTGTTTTCCAGTTTCCATCCACAGAGATTAGAAGATTGTAGGTGTGTATTTTTTTAATTAAAATGAACGTTTAAAAGCTTCATATGCTGATTTCTGGAAGATGGCCTACTCTGCCAAAGGAAAGTGACTACAGTATTCTTGTGACTCCATCAGAGTCGTCTTCTTGTGACTCTGGTGCTCAAAATCTACTAAATCACAGGCTGCCAATTAGTTTCTGGGCACAATTTAAAGTGTTGGCTTGTTCCTCTGTCTCATCACTTTCACGGGTGCGGACATAGGAGATAAGCCTTCTCTGTTGCTGCACCCAGCCTTTGGAACTCCCTCCCACAGGAGGCCTACCTGGCCCAATCTGTGCTGTCTTTCCTCAAGCAGGCAAAGGCGCTTCTCTTCTAGCAAGCCTTCCCTCAGTAACTAGCTACTTGTGTGTGATTTTTAGGCTGATTGTTATACATTACTGCTTTGACTGGATTTTTTTTAGTACTAATTGTGATTTCCACTTTGGGGTTTTCCATTTCTCAGAGTGACATTTTCTTTTCTTTTTAATATTTGTATACTAATTTTAAACTGTAAGATGTCTCTTTATACTAATTGTTCATAGCTTGAAATATTGTCTTTTAATTAGGTTAACCATCATTGTATACTCATTGTTTTCAACTTTAAATATTGCCTTTCAATGTTGTAAGCTGCCTTTCTCTTTGGAGAAAAATGGGGTAAAATACTTTAAATAAATAATAAATATGTCTCTAATCCTCAAAATCCTCCAGTGTTTGTTTCACCAGTACTAATTGTGTTTTCCACTTTGGGGTTTTCCATTTCTCAGAGTGACATTTTCTTTTCTTTTTAATATTTGTATACTTATTGTTCTTAACTTTAAAACTGCCTTTTAATGATGTAAGATTACTCTTTATACTAATTGTTCATAGCTTGAAATATTGTCTTTTAATTAGGTTAACCATCATTGTATACTCATTGTTTTCAACTTTAAATATTGCCTTTCAATGTTGTAAGCTGCCTTTCTCTTTGGAGAAAAATGGGGTAAAATACTTTAAATAAATAATAAATATGTCTCTAATCCTCAAAATCCTCCAGTGTTTGTTTCACCAAATCACATAGTTTCTCCAAAGTCAGTATTCTTTCCAAAGCACACAAACAATTTTAATAAGAAAACTCCCTAACTTAATGCACAGACTTTGCATGCAGGAACATGTTTTGTTCTGCAGCAGATCCATTACACAACTTCTGCAGAAGCCCAAGATGGGCAGTAAGCTAAGCAAATTGAAAACACATTCTTCTTCCATGGGCACAGCAAGAAACATACTTTTTGGCATGCTGTTCTCTCAATATGGGTCAAGATATCAGCAATACAGAGAATGCAATATACAGAGCTATGCAATTCTAGGTCTCACTTCATCTGAGAAGACAATTGTGGTGTCAAAGCAGTGGAGAAAAGCTATATATTTTGTACCCTTATTGCTCCTTCACAAATTCCATGACTCATGTTTTATACTAAAAACCAATTCCAGGACTGCACTTGTTGAATAGGTTGCAATTAGTTTCTTGTTTTTAAAAAGAACATACCTCTTCACTTTTGATGACCTTTAAGTTTTAAGAGAAACAAGAAAAGCCAGTAGAAAGAGAAGGATGCACCATCCCACAAGACTTAGTGAGCAATTAACAGTGCAATCCTATAAATGTATTGTATACTCAGAAGTAAATGTGGTCTTCAATCTCAGACAAAAGAGTATAAGTCTGGAGGCTAAATCTCATTAAACAGGCTTCTCTTCACTTTTGATGACCTTTAAGTTTTAAGAGAAACAAGAAAAGCCAGTAGAAAGAGAAGGATGCACCATCCCACAAGACTTAGTGAGCAATTAACAGTGCAATCCTATAAATGTATTGTATACTCAGAAGTAAATGTGGTCTTCAATCTCAGACAAAAGAGTATAAGTCTGGAGGCTAAATCTCATTAAACAGGCTTCCTCTGCTTGTCTTGTTATGACCAATTCCAGGGCTGCACTCTTTGAATAGGTTGCCGTTAGTTTCTTGTTTTTTAAAATAACATATCTCTTCACTTTTGATGACCTTTTAATTTTAAGAGAAACAAGAAAAGCCAGTAGAAAGAGAAGGATGCACCATCCCACAAGACTTAGTGAGCAATTAACAGTGCACTCCTATAAATGTACTGTATACTCAGAAGTAAATGTGGTCTTAATCTCAGACAAAAGAGTATAAGTCTGGAGGCTAATTCTCATTAAACAGGCTTCCTCTGCTTGTTACATACCAAACATAGAGAGAGATTAATGCTATAAAGCAAGGATATCTCAAGCCTCTAAGCATTTTGAGCACAGTTTTAGCTGCAGTACAGCGTTTTAACCACTGCGCCACGAGTGTAACCTAAATCTTGTAGTATTAGGTTACACACCAAACACAGAGTGAGATTAATGCCATAAAACAAGGATATCTCAAGCCTCTAAGCATTTTGATTTATTCTTCTTTCTCTGCAACTTCCAAAATGGTAATAAGTCGAAGTGTTGCTTCAGCTACACCAAACAAGATCATGATATAAAGTCACAGTCACAGTCAAGTGTAGGAATCAAGAAATGGTTCCCTTTCTTACAGCCCACTGCAATGTCAAAGTTCAGATGACACTAATGTTCCAACAAGATTAACTACACATCCCATATAACAATAAAAGCATAGAGAGGAATATCCTTAGCTTACGCTGGATGAATCATTTTTTTTTTCACCACAGAGGTCTGCCAAATTTTAAAGCAAACAATGTTCAACTTGAGCCTGACATTCATTTCATCTAATTGCTCAGTATTTATCATGGTGTAGGTAGGGCAAAGGGTAAAATATTCTAGCATTCAGATATTAGTTGTAATTGGCTACAGTTCCCATTCAGATGCTTACGAACTGGAACAGAATCAAACAGGCAAGGCTTGATTTCAAGTGAACACAAATGGTTGGATCCATAAAACACTACCAGAGAAAAACTGATCAGAGATCCATCCCCGTCAATGATAGAAATCTGCAATAATGTAAAAAACCTTTAATCAGAAAGGGTGCGTGTGTTTTAGGGCCTTGAAAAAAAGCACACAAAAACATTTCATGCACACCAAAAAGTGCGAAGAAATTAATGTGAGAGACAATAAAACCTGTAAGGCAAAAGCAAGAGATGAGACATATAATTAGGAAAAAGAGGCATGCAGGTAAAATACAATGAAATGAGAATGACTACAGTGGACCCTCGACTTATGGAATTAATCTGTATTGAAACGGTGGCCACAGGTTGAAAAATCCGTAGGTCGAGGGTCCATTTCCCATGGGAATGCACTGAAAACCCATTAATCCGTAACCGGCCTAAGTAAAAATACCCCCCCACATATTAAAAAAATGAAAATAAATACACCTTAGTCCGAAGCCTTCTAGAGGTCCCCCACCGCCACTATTGCCGCTGCCCGAGGCCTCTGAGGGCTCCTCTGCTGCTACCATAGGCCTCATGGGGGTCCCTCGCTGCCCCCATCGCCGCTGCCTGAGGCCTCCTGGGTCCCCCACCGCCACTATTGCCGCTGACCGAGGCCTCTGAGGGCTCCTCCGCCACTACCGTAGGCCTCATGGGGGTCCCTCGCTGCCGCCATTGTCGTTGCCTGAGGACTCTGAGGGCTTCCCGTGGCTACCGTAGGCCTCATGGGGGTCCCTCACTGACCCCATCGCCGCTGCCTGAGGCCTCCTCTGCCACTACCGTAGGCCTCATGGGGGTCCCTCGCTGCCACCATTGTCGCTGCCTGAGGACTCTGAGGGCTTCCCCGTGGCTACCGTAGGCCTCACGGGGGTCCCTCATTGCCCCCATCGCCGCTGCCTGAGGCCTCCTCTGCCACTACCGTAGGCCTCACGGGGGTCCCTTGCTGCCGCCATCGCCGCTGCCCGAGGACTCTGAGGGCTTCCCTCTTGGAGGTCCCCTGCCCCCGCCGACGCAGGCTTTCCCAGGGTGGACCGGGCCTACCAGGGGAGGGCTTCCTCTGGTAGGCCCGGTCTACCACCTGGGAAAGCCTGGTAGACCGTTCAGAACACAAAAGCCACAACTCACTCTGAGGAAGAATGTTTTCTCTCATGCAGTGGAGGGGCTAGGATAGGCTAGACCAAAGCCTAGACCAGCTCCAGAAATTAGACTGAAGGTACAAAGGCAGGTTGCTCAGGATTTTTCAGCTGGTGGTCACACACATAATAGACATCAAGGATGCCACTCCCTAGCCAGAGTCCCTCCAGTACACGCCACCTCCTCCAAAATGCTGCCCAATTAGTTAGTAATCCTTTTCTAGCAAGTAGGGTTCCCACGAGATTTTCTTACAGATCAAGCCACAAATGTCATGAGCTAGACATTCCAACACACGCGATCCCTTTTAGAAATCCATCCCTTCAACATCTCAGTCTACCATTCCTGGGCTTGCGTAGCGCTTTAACCACTCTTTATAAAGGGGATGTTGTGCAAATTGGTGGGTGCAAGCTTGCATATTCAAGCCTGGCCTGAAAGTCCTGCTTCTCCTGCCCCTGGTCACAGACATTTGCATGATGGCAACACCTTTTTAAGGTTGTACAATGGAGGGGGTCATCTGTGGTTTATGAGATTCACATACAGGACTTCTGGAAGCACCAAGCATTCCATGTAAACCTCTTCAAGGAGTAGTAAAATTGGGAGGCCTAGTTTGGGGGAATGTAAACAAGACAGCCCTGGGTTCATAGGCAGTGTTAGTGGGACAAGGCAAAGGGGCCTGAACTTTGCCCACTCCTGTTTTAGAACATCTTTAAAGAGACTCATACAAATTCTAAAACTCTGTGCCTTTAGGTGATATGCATGATACAAAGTAGGGTTGAAATCTAAAGACACAGCAAAAATTATGCCTTGTATTTTAAAAGGCATTCATGGCAGAGTTATATGTCTCATGTGAATTTCCACATGTTACATTTGTCCTAGCAAAGTACAGTATTCCTATATGTATTTCTAATTGGTTAAATCCCACCGAGGTACCTAGTTACATAAAACCTTTTCCTTCTTGAGTTCTTAAACATCTTAAACATGCTTCTAGAGGCAGGGTGCTGGAGCATGGAGCAGCAATCATTTCTTCGTGGTATTCATATAAGTTTACCCTTTAGCCTTCAATAATATTGTAGAATGGGGAGTGACGAAATAGAAGAGTGAGATTCAGGTCAGTGCATAAGGAATTAAAATGGAGATTATCCAATGTTTGCATATGATGCATATTTTCATTTGGATGACCCATAAAAAACTTATAGTGATTTCTTAGGTCCTTCTAATACAGCTCAATGTTTTTGATGCCAACTTGATGTCCTTTTTCTTAGCACATTCTGTTCTTGCCACCACCACTACCAAGAAGACGCTTTCCCAAATATACACCAACAGAAGGTGGCAAAACATGAACAAGGGCTCATCTGAAGGCTGAAGCATATGGACAGGTTTGTATGAATGGAGTCTGATCCTACAAATATAGCAGAATGAGACCATTTGTGTGTTTAAGATCCTACAAATATAGCAGAATGAGACCATTTGTGTCTTTAACAGTGAAAAGCATAATTTTGAATTAACCGGGACCCAGTACAGTCGAAATGATAAATTATGGCTGATGTCACTTATATAATTTCTCTCTCTCTTTCTTCTCTCTGTCTTTCTCTTACTTCTATAACAGGAAAGAAGACAATGAGACCTCTTGGCCTGAGGAATTCATCTTAACAGAACTTACAGACCATAAAGTTTTAAACCTGATACTTTTTGTTTTGTTTCTCTTTACATATTTGGCAGCCGTGTTTGGCAACTTGCTCATTATTGTTCTAGTGAGAACAGATCCTTGCCTTCACACACCTATGTATTTCTTCCTCTCCAACCTCTCCATCTTGGAGGTTTGTTCTGCTTCTACCACAGTGCCCCAGATTCTGTTTCACTTTCTATCCGAGAAAAGGGCCATGCCCCAAATTTGTTGTGCCTTGCAGCTGTTCTTCTTCCTCACGTTTGTAATTGCAGAGATTTTTGTTCTCACTGTGATGTCTTATGATCGTTATGTTGCCATTTGCTTTCCACTGCATTACAGCCAGCAGGTAACCAAGCAGGTGTGCATTTTAATGGCTGCTGCTTGTTGGATGGGTGGCCTCTTCCTTTCTGCAATCAACACTGCCTTCACTTTGAAATTATCCTTTGGTGGCCACAACAAAATAGACCATTTTCTCTGTGAAATGCCAGCCATGGTGAGAAGTGCTTATGGAGGAACATACAACGTCAAGATGTGTCTGTACATATCTTGTGTGTTTACTTTGATCTCACCTCTTTTGTTGATACTTGTATCTTATGCTCGTATTCTTTACACTATCTTGGGTAACCATTGTAATACCTGCAAGCACAAAGCCATCTCCACTTGCTCTTCTCACTTGTTAGTTGTTATACTCTTTTTTGGGTCGGGAATTTCAGCCTACCTTGGACCACATTCCAGCAGTTCAAAGGAGCATCTCAAAATGGCTTCTGTGTTTTACATAGTCATCACTCCTGCACTCAACCCCATCATATATAGTCTACGAAACAAGGAAGTGATGCAGGCCTTCAAGAAGGTGAGAAATAAAGGCACAATTAATTAATCTGTCAGTATGTGGATGGTGGATTATTCTCTCTCTTTCTGTAATAAATTTATCTTGCTTTTATCTATGAGTCGTTCTGTGGAATAACAAATCTCATTATTTGGTGTGCAGTGTACTGTAAAGATGGAGTCTCATACTCGGTATGTATGGTTGTGCCTTTTGATTATTTCTTTACCTCAGGATGGATAATTAGTGTGTGTGTGTGTGTGGGAGAGAGAGAGAGAGAGAGAGAGAGAGAGAGAGATGCCAGCCGTATTAATCTGGATTTTAAACTAAAACATGTATAAATATATTATTTCATATGTAATTTCACAATATGTAAAACTGAATGGAAGTGACTCTGGCCCAGCCATTATCTATGAGTGTGACCAGCATAACAGGATTGTTGTTGTGCATATAGTGAAAAGAAGAGTTTTATATGCTTCCTCATGTTGAAAGGATAGATAGAAAGAGGATGCTCTTTCATCTTAATAACTACAATATATATTCAACAGAACACATAAAAGGGGCTGGAAAATTGCATCTCAAAATTTTCGTTGTGAGTTTGCTTTCAATGTTGTAGTTGTAGCACCTTCATCATTCCATTAATCCCATTATCACAACACTTCTTTCCATATTCTCCAGCAAACCTCATACCCTATTCCTTTCTCCAGTTTGGTTACCTTGATCTTGGAAAGGTGTTTACAAAATTTTCACCTCCTTTTCTTTCCATGACAGTTCCTGCAATTTTTCCTAAAGTGAAGTTCCATGCACAGCTACTTTAAACAAATCTCTGTGAGTCTTGATAATCCAAGGAATTTAGTATAAATTTCCAGCCTAAGGTAGAATACAATATTTGTAGATGAATGTGTATTATGTTTTGATTTTCTGCAGTAGGAAAGGATATATGATTGTAATCCAGTAGTGGACAATTGTCTGATTTCTGGAGAAATTAATATTTGTCTGTAGTTTGCCTTTGATCTTCCAAGAGACATTTAAATTTCTACCACGAATGATGGAATTAAGAACTAAACCATACAGACCCACAACAAAAATTTCAGTGTAGATTAACCTCTCATACATGCACATTCTATTGAAGTATTTTGCTTCAGGTTTCCAGCCAACAAACCATACACTCTTGATAGAGATCCTGTTGTAAGAGTCCACATATGTCATTTAACCACCATGTCATTTATTGAAAGGAGTCATCAGTATTGTAGGAATTGTACACTGGCATAGGTGAAATGGTATAAAGATCAACAGAAAATGTCTTTTAGTTAAAGAGCCATTGCTTGTACCTAATATCATGCACTCAGGCATAAAACTTGAACATTGTCAGGGACTTAGGATAAGACAGTGTCCTTTCCTTTTCCCTAGCAGAGATTAATCCAAGTCAGGCACCAGTATGCAGAGTGAAATGAGAGTCCATTAAGATAAAGAAAAACTGTATTTTTATAGTAGTGGTAGAGTCATATATACAGAGTTGTCTTAGTCCGTTCCAATAGTCATTGTGGCATTTGCCCTCATGGCCCCTGCTTGTTTCCCCAAACACAGCTCACAAGGTACCTCAGCACGCCGTCTGATATGCTGCCACCAGTTGATGTCTTTTATCAACTTAGTTTACTTAGAAAAGATGAAGGTCCATCCAGTACTGACTTTCCAACAAAACAGGTTTATTAATTACAAATGGTTTTTGGAATGATTCATAAACACCTTTTCCAAGATTCATCAATCAGCAATATTAACCTTCTGTATTAATTATCACAGGTTACACTCATACTCTTCACTGCTCAGACCCCCAAACTATCCTTCTCTCCCTGATCCAGACTCAGACTGACTCCCCTCCCCTCTGAGACTCCGCCTTTTAGCACCTCCTTTGGCCGCATCTCTTAACCACATCAACATATCACGTGAATAATGCGTAACTCATATTGCATAACTTAGGTGAATGCCACAGTCATACCTGGTAAAGCATTCAAGTTCAGTCCAGTTACCATAACACATAGTCAGGGTCCGTAGCAATATTCAACGGGCACCCAAAAGGACCAAAACTGAATGAGGAACCCCCCCCCCCAAAAGAACCAGTTATCAATGAATTCCAAATGCATTCCCCACACATTCCCAATTACTATTTGTGTTTACAGACGTCCTTCACTATGGGCTTTTAAATGTTTAACAAGAATCTTCATTACGGAAGTGACATGAACTTTAAAATTCCATATCAGTGAAAGCCACAGTATACCTGTGGCCCGAAGATATAATAAAATTTACATTTACACAGTTTTTACAATTCTTTAATGAGGTAGAGATTTTATTAATTATTTATTCAAAATAATGTAATCCCACTTTTCTACTTACTAAGGAATGAAGGTGACTTAAACCAATTTGCAGCGTTTTTTAAATCTAAAGTGGAGGCCATCCGCCGGGACCTTTCTCCTTTTTTAAATACAACGGATCGAGCGGAGATGTCCAGCGCTCCGTCCTGCCCAGTAATTCTCGACTCCTTTCAGCCTGTAACATCAGATTTGGTAGACAAGGCGCTTGATCACTGTCAGGCCACCTCCTCTTCTCTCGACCCTTGCCCGGCCTGGCTAATCAAAGCAGCCAGGCCGGTAACAACTGAATGGGCCACTGCAATAATTAATGGGTCTCTCCAGGAGGGCAAGGTTCCCCTTGCCCTCAAGGAGACACTCATTAGGCCCATTAGGAAGAAACCAAATCTGGTGGCGGACGAAATTGGCAATTATAGGCCCGTTGCCAGAGTTTCCTTCCTTAGCAAAGTGGTTGAGAGAGTGGTGGCAGATCAGCTTCAGGTGCTCTTAGACGAAACCAATGCTTTGGACCCATTTCAGTCAGGCTTCAGGCCATGCTATGGTACAGAGACAGCACTGATCGCACTGCTGGATGACCTATTGAGGGAGGCCGATGGGGGCAATGTGTCTCTGTTGGTCCTCTTCGACATCTCAGCTGCCTTTGATACCGTCGACCACGGTATCCTCCTGGGGAGGCTCTCCGAGTTGGGAGTCGGTGTCCTTGCACTTGCCTTGCTCCGCTCCTTCTTGGAGGACCGCCCCCAGAGAGTTCAGCTTGGGGAGAATGTCTCGGCCCCGTGGAGTCTCAACTGTGGGGTTCCACAGGGATCGATCATCTCCCCAATGCTGTTTAACATCTATATGAGGCCGCTGGGTGGGGTCATCAGGGGGTGTGGGGCTTCATGTCACCAGTATGCTGATGACACACAGCTCTACATCTCCTTTACACCAACTTCAGTGGATGCCGTCCGGTCCCT